TGCCTCCTGATGCCGTGGAGAAAGCCAGAGCCCTGATGGGGCAAGGAGGGCTACCTATCTGGCTGTCCCACTGATACTCAGTTGCACCTCTTAGCTGCTCAACTAGAAAATACTGGGCATTTATATATCTGGTATTGGAAAGTCTGTAATTTGGCAGTTTGAGACCCGAGTGCCGTGTGACGGAGTGAGGTCCCGTCTCTGGCCCCAGCTCCTGCCAACTTAGCAGTTCGAAAGCAAGAAAATGCAAGTAGATAAATAGGTACCGCTTTGGTGGGAAGGTAACAGCGTTCCGTGTGCCTTGGCGTTTCATCATGCCGGCCACATGGCCATGGAGAAGTCTTCGGACAGTGCTGGCTCTTCAGCTTGGAAACTGAGATGAGCACTGCCCCCAAGAGTCGGATTCGACTGGCTTTCGAGCAAGGGAAACCTTTACCTTTACTTTATTTTCTCACTTGGTTTTCTAGACAGAAAGCACAAATACTGGACTATCCAAGTGAAAACCAGATAGCCGGCAACTCTAGGATCCCAAGGAGAACAGGAATTTAGATTCCGGTTAGCCGAACATCTATTTTGGATAAACAATTGGAAAATGTTATTAAAGTTAGAATTATTACACATATAGAAGAACAAGGCCGGCTGAAGAAGAACTGATTTGGTTTCTACAAAGTAGCATCCTGCTTCACTGACATTTTGGAGTTTTTCTTTTTAAGGTTAACAAACGTGTGGACAAGGGTGATTCAGTAGACATGGTTTACTTGGGACTTCCAAAAACACGTAACCAAGTCCCTCATCAAAGGCGCCTGATTAAACCTAGCAGTCATGGGATAAAGGGAGGAGACTTCTTGTGGTTTAGAAGCCGTATAAGTGACAGGAAGTGGAGAGGAGGAGCAAATGGGCAGTTCTTGTAATGGAGGGAGATAAGTCGAATGTTGGCGTTATTTAATTTGTTTCTTAATTATCTGGAATTTTTTTAGGGGGGGGGGAGAAGTTAAGTGACCAAGTCTGTGGCTGAGACCAGATTGCAAAGGCTCTTCTTATAGTCTTTGGTGCAGAACACTGATTGATCAGAGTTACCTTTTCACTGATCTGCCCAGTAGCTGCCACACACCTTTGCTTTCAGCTGGGATGATTTACTTGTCTGTGGGGCAGGGCAGGACAGTTATATGCTGAAGGAGAAGGGACAAGCTAAAGCCACAAGTTCTCAGGACACCCACTGCGGTCACGGGGTTGCAAGAGAGATCCCACTTAGGGCCATCACCAGTCAATTGCCTAAAAATAAGCTATCTCCTTCCTATCTAAAAACAGTAAAGATGTTTTATTCAGCTTTACATCAATAGGCTTTTATGGCTGTACCAACCAAGTAGCAGGCACTTCCATTTAGGAAGTATCTACACACAGTCCACGGGGTTTCTTAAATTTAAACTAGGCCCTTTCTGGTGATCTGGCTTGATGTGCTTCCTCAGCTTGCTCATCTGCTCCCTGCAACAGCCACAAGGAGTCAGTAAAGCACCCTTAGAACACGAGGGAGCATCTCCAGGCTTTTAGCATCTGTGTCATCAAATGGAAAAATTGGTGTGTGTGTGTGTGTGTGGGGGGTGTTACTTATTTGTGGATCTAGATGGTTTTATTCCAGGTTGCATTTCGGCTGAGGAATTACCATACCCCCCCCCCCCACACACACACATTGCAGTTATAATATCCTGATGTTGAGAATACAGGGTTGCCACTTGGTTTGTTTTTCACTGACGGGGTCCCCCTTGAACAATGGCAACCTCCAGGAGAAATCCGCAGGGAGTCTGGGGGCGGGGTGGGGCAAAGGGCAACAATGGCAACATCACATCCGGGTCCGTGCATGAAGGAGCGCCCTAGAAACTCTTTGGTAAAAGCAGCCACCATCAGTGTTCTCCTCCAGAGGTGGGAGGGGCAGCAGCAGGAGAGAGCCCGCCCAAAGACCAGGACCACCCCCACCCCCACTCCCTTCTGAGAAATGCTTCCCCTGCTGATCTGTGTCAGGTTTTGCGCAACTGGTAGAGAAGTGCCTCTGAGGCAACCCTATTCCCTGCCTGGGAACCCAGAGGGCAGGGAGAGGCCCTCCCATCAGTCAAGGGAGCCTCCTTCGGTGGGTGCCGGAGAGAGGGCCTCATCACTGGCATCAGCCCCACGATTATGAAACAGCCTCCCCAGGGAGGTGCACCGTCAGGAGGCAGCTGAAGACGGGTTTTATTTAGGACAGCATTGGGTTAAGTTTCCTAGCAGTCCCAAGTTGCAAATTTAAGTTTTGGTTTTTATATTTTTAATGCATTTTATGTGTGCTATAAGGGCCTTGAGCTCATTAAGGAAGAAAGGCAGCTAATACATGTTTTAAATAAATAAATAAATAAATAGACTATTTGAAACCGAATATTGCATTTCCCCAGCTGCAGTCAGCCATATGAAATATGCCTGCTGTGCATGCTCCCAAGGTTGCCAACTTCCTGCTAAGCATAGGGGATCCCCCCCCCCCGGCTCTTGTTTCCTGCCACCACTTGAAGAAGTGGCAGGAAAAACAACATGAAAATCACTGTTGAGGCAAACCTGGAAGGGATGCTTCACCTCTCTAGGAATCACCAGAAACTCTATGGTTTCACCAGTAAGTATGCACTTTCAGTCAAGAAATACCTCTAATCTATGCTTTTGCTCTCTGCCTTGACAGCCAGTCTGGTGTAGTGGTTAAGAGCAGCGGACTCTAATCTGGACAGCTGGGTTTGATTTCCCTCTCCTTCTCCACATGCAGCCAGGTGGGTGACCTTGGGTCAGTCACAGTTTCTCTCAGAGCTCTCTCAGCCCCGCCTACCTCACAGGGTGTCTGTTGTGGGGAGGGAAAGGAGACTGTAAGCTGCTCTGGGACTCCGAGGGAAGGGTGGGGTATAAATCAAGTCTCCTCCTCCTCCTCTTTCTTCTTCCCTTGAAGAGTTAATAAGCCCCAGTGGGTCGGAGCATAACTTGCCATGCGGCCCTTGGCCAGGGGCTGCCTTGAAGAGGGAAGGGTTTGGGGAAGGGCCTCCGTGGGGCAGAAGGCCCCCCCCCCCCACTCTTCCCCAAAGCTGCCACAGCCGGTCCCGTCGTCTGGGGATCAGTGGCAATTCTGGGGGAGCCCCGAGCCCCACCTGGAGGCTGGCGACCCTTCTTAGGCGGGAGCAGGTTCCCTCCCCCCAAGGTGAGGAGATGGGGGGTCAGGTATGGATAAAGCGGTCGGAGCCCAGTCTGTCCGTGGCCTTTGGGGACCTCTTTGCTTCCCCCCGGCCGGCCGGCTTCTCTCCCTCCCGGGCTGTTCTGCCCTGTGGGCTGGCAGCCTTCCCTGCCTTGCCTCCTCCCTGCTGGCGGCAGGCTGGCCTTCCCTCGTCCGCTCTGCCTACGCCCTTCTTGCCTCATGGGTGGCCACACAGCAGGGCACGGCCGGACTGGGGGTGGGGGGTTGCTGTGGGCCCTCCCCGGCCAAGCCCCCCGAAACCAGGGCAGCCAGTCCGTGCCGTTGCTCGCTTCAGGGCTGAAGGGGGAGGGGGGAAGTAGTGATCTCTGGAGGGGACGCCCCACCCCCACATCTTCCCCTTCCTGTGCAGAGGTGTTTTTGAGCTCTTGGGCAGCGGTGGGGGGTGGGGGGTGGGGGCGGCGGCATGTGTTTGTTTTTGCCTTCCCCCCTCCAGTTTCTCTGCATTTCATAGTGCAGCTCAGTCACTGACGCCATCTGGGGGCATTCTACTAGATTTGTCTCCCATATTACAAGCATCAGTGATGTGCTACACTTTGCTTGTGCCTTAAAAAAACAAACCCCAAAACCTACTTGCTTCATACTAAGAGTGCCTGAACAATATGGGACACTCTTTCAGCCGCTCTGAGGCGTGAGGGCAAAAGTGCCTTGCCCCAGCAGGCCGTCTGTTCTCCCAGGGGCCTTTGCTGTACAGATCCAGGTCTGAGGAGAAGGCTGTGAGGTCGCAGCCCCCTTTCCCAGCACTGCGGGCCTGTCGGTCCACCTCTGCTCCCCTCCCCCCCTGCCCCAAGTCTCAGGGGAGTCTCCACGGATCCCACCAGGCTCCACTCCTGCCCTGCCCCACGTGGGTGGTCGAGCCCCCTCCCCACCCTCTCCCTTACCGGCTGCACAGAGTCCAGGAGTTTGGTGAGCTGGTAGAAACGGCGAGAACAGGACGTGGGATTCTTCCTCTTGCAAGCGATGATACGATCTAGTTCCTTGATGTAGTTCATCCGAAGTTCATCAAAGAATTTCTGATTCTTCAGGCCGTCCACTGGAACTGGAACAGAAAGAAAGAGGGAACAGCAATAAATGGAGAAGCAGAAAGCAGCGGAGCCTGAGCACACCATAAAGAGGAGCACGGGTGGCTGCTGCCTTCCATCACGGCCAGCAAGAGAACCATCGCTGGCTCCAGCCTTACATCCAAACATAATTCTCAGGACTGCAGAACTCCTTGTTTTGGGTGATAATAATTTATCAGAGTCTGAATTTATCAGAGACCGCAGCTGCCGTGTCGGATCAGCCCCATTTCCCACCTCTCTTTCTCCCCCTCTCAAACGCACGGGGCGGAAGAGTGCTGCTTACTAATACTGAAGAGGAGCAGAGCTTTCATGCAGAGAAATTCCTGGGGAGTGATCTGAAGCCACCCAAACTCTTGAGACAGGTGCCGCATCCTGACACACTGGCTGTACATTCTGGATTTGTGCATCCGGTACCTGGGGTGGGGTGGGGTGGAGAAGATGGGGAGACAAAAGCAGATGTCATCAGGAAAGTGAAAAAGGTAACAATTTATCACACGCATCTTTCTTTCTTTGAAATATAGATTCAGGTGGGGCAGCCGTGTTGGTCTGAGGCAGCAGAACAAAGGATGAGTCCAGTCAGGCACCTTTAAAACTTAATTTTGGGTATAAGCTTCCGTGTGCATGCACACCTTTGTTGGTCTTAACGGGGCCCCTGGACTCAAACTTTGTCCACTTTATTTGGAAGAGAAAGTCCCCCCCCAGCTGCATTCCGCCCTGCCAGCTGCTGGCCCTTCCTGTGTTCCAGTCTTCATGGCGATCTGTCCTGGCAACAAGAGAGGAGAACCATTCCAAAGGGTCAGGTTACGGATGCTCACATGGCATGCTGAGGTCCCCTTGACCTCCCCGTTTTCTCCAAAAAGCAATCACTCCCAAGAATGTGCAATATTTAAACAAGTCCATGACAACATCCCATGTGAGTCATCCGAAGAGGCAGGCAGATTGCAGCCTATTGATCCCTTCGATGGCGGCTGTCCCGGCCTTTAGCGGGTCACAAGAGGGTCACCAGTGGAGGGGGAAGGAAGGATTGATGCTGCTTTGCTGACCTGCCACTCTGAGAAATCACTATCATCAGGTTGCTGGCACCCAGGAACTTCTCTGGTTCAAGCTACAATTTAGCCCTGCTGCTGCTTTCATTGCTCGCTGAGCTGTGAGCCTATTTCCTATGCAATTTCCCTCTCTAAAGTAAGTGTGGAAGTGCCTCAAACCTATGGAAGATTCAGAGAAATTGGCAATGAGTGTGAATATCCTAAGAAAGTGGATTTATCTATTTGATGCACCTTTTGAGTGAGTGGGGATCAAGGAGACCCAGGTTCAAATCCTCATTTTGTCATGGAAGCTTGCTGGGTGACCTTGGGCCAGTCACACACTCTCAGCCTACCGTGCCTCACAATTCCTAGGAAGGCAGGCCACGACTTATCCATTCATTTCGTCTTATTTATATCCCGCTGTCCCCCGCTAGCGGGCTCAAAGTGGGTCACAAAAGTTCGTTTCACAGAAAAAACAATATTAAAACATACAATTTAAATCCTGTTTAAAACCAGTTCAGAATGAGATGGCAGGCCGGTCTGTGGAAGTCCAGAGTGCCTCCTAGGGTTGCCAGCTCTGGGCTGGAAAATACCTGGAGACTTTGGGGGTGGTTCTGCTAGAGGGCAGGGTTTGGGGAGGGGCCCCAGCATGGCCCAGTGCCACAGAGCCCACCCTTCAAAGCAGCTGTTTTCTCCAGGGGAGCTGATCTCTGTCAGCTGGAGATCAGTTGTGAAAGCAGGAGGTCTCCAGGCTACACCTGGAGGCTGGCAACCCTAGAGCCTCCTGTGTGGTCAATAAGGCATCCAATTCACTAGAAGATGCTGTGCAGGTCTCTTTAGCGTTGCAGGGCCATTAAATAGGGCAGTACAATCAGGGGAGACTGAGACGGTTGGACGTCTGCCACCTCGGCCAAAGGCCTGGTGGAACACAGCTCCATTGCACAGGCCTGTGGAACTGTAATAGATCCCACAGAGCCCCGATCTCAGGTGGGAGCCTGTTCCACCAGGCCCTGGCCCTGGTCGAGGCTAGGCAGATGTCTTTTGGGCTGGGGACTACCAGAAGGTGTTGATCTGCAGAGTGCAGGGCTCTCCAGGGCACATATAGGGAGAGACGGTCCCGTAGGTATGTTGGTTCCTGGCCGCATAGGACTTTGAAGGTTAATATGAAAACCTTGAACTGGATCAGGTACTCAATTGGCAGCCGGTGCAATTGGCGCAGCACCAGCTGAATGTGTGCCTGCCAGCAGTTTCTCGGTCAGATTCAAGGGCAGCCCTGCATAGAGCAAGTTACAGTAATCCAGCCTGGAAGTGACCATTGCATGGGTCACTGTAGCCAAGTCCAGGGGGAGAGGTAGGGAACCAGTTGCCTGACCAGCCAAAGATGATAAAAGGCTGACCTGGCAACGTTGGTGACCTGGGCCTCCATGGGAAGTGAGGGATCCAGAATCACCACTAGGCTTTTCACCCTCAGCGCTGGCATCAATGGCGGCCCACTCAGGGTTGGAAGCCGGAATCCCAATCCTACCCTCCCAGGCTCAAGTACAGGACCTCCGTCTTTGCTGGGGTTAATTTCAGCCGACTCTGCTGTAATCATCCAGCCACTGCCTCCAGAGCCCTGTCCACAATATCTGGGGCAGAGTCCAGCTGGCCGTCCATCAACAGATAAAGCTGGATATCATCAGCATACTAGTGACAACCCAGCCCAAACCCCCATATAGATGTTAAGCAACACAGGTGAGAGGATCGCCCTCTGTGGCGCACCGCATTCCAGCAGGTACTGCGAAGAGATCCTCTCCCCAAGGGCCACCCTCTGTTCCTGATCATGGGGAAAGGAGGAAAGCCACTGTAAGGCATTCCCTGTATCCCTGCGTTGGTGAGACAGTGGGTCAGGAGATCATAATCAACCATGTTGAAAGCTGATATCAGGTCAAGAAGTCACAGCAGCACTGACCCGCCTCGATCCAGATGTCTCCGGAAGTCATCTGTGTGGGCAACCGGCTCTGTCTCCACCCCATGGCTAGAGTGGAAGCCGGACTGGAATGGATCCAGGATGGAGACACCATCCAGAAAAACCTGGAGCTGCTCAACCACTGCTCTCTCAACTACCTTACCCAGGAACAGAAGGTTTGATACTGGGCAGTAGTTGGTCAGGGCCGCAGGGTCCAACAATGTTTTTTTTCCCCAAGAGCAGTCACACTACTGCCTCTTTCAAGCCCGCTGGGAATATCCCAGAGGAAAGGGATAGATTGATTATATCCCCCAGGGGCACCCAGACACCATTTCTGCAGTCCTTAATCAGCCAAGGTGGGCAGGGGTCAAAGAGGAAAGTGGTTGGCTTCACTGCTGCCAGGATCTTGTCGACCTCCTCCTGGGACAGCCGGCTGAAATGGTCCAAGACTGGACCAAAGAGAGACAAGGGGCTTCCAGTTCCCTTACTGTATCAACTCTGGCCAGGAGGTCCTGGCGGAGGGACAAGACTGTCTGCAAAATAGCTCGCAAATGGCTCACAGCCAATTCCTTATCCCTTTGTTTGCCTTGTGGCAAGGAAGTCAGCAATGAAATTGTCCTAAATAATTGGGCCGAGTGAGAGCTCGCAGATGCAATGGAGGCCGCATGGAAATCCGTCTCAGTGGTCTTCACTTCCATCTCATTGGCTTCCATAAATGTCCTATAAGATGTTCTAGTTGTCTCAGCTCTCGTTTCATCTTCCGTAGCTCCGGGATATACAATAGGGCTCGTTTGGCCTGAGAGCAGAGAGGGCACGGGGTGGGGGTGGGTGGGTGGGGGTTACGTTAATGGCTTCAGAAAGCCAGCTATGCCAGTCCTCCACCAGCTCATCCAAAGAATCGCCGGGGGCATCAGATCCTGCAGAGCATTCTGGAACCTATTTGGGCCCATTAGTCCCTGTGGGCGAGGATAAATTCACTTGCTGCCTAAACATGAAGGGTTAGGAGTGCTCAGCCGGGCCTTCGGGGCAAAGTAGTCTGACCATGGCACCGCACCAGCAGCCTCCAGATCCCCATTCACCCCCATACCATAAATAGGACCCCGTGTGTGGCCTGCTTGATGTGTAGGAGGCATTACAAACTGGGAGAGTCCCAGTGCCGCCATGGATGACACCAGGTCCCTGGCCAGAGAGGAGGCTGCATCATCAGCACGGACGGTGAAGCCCCCCAGGACCAACAACCTGGGGTATTCCAGGGCCCAGCCTGATACACCCTCCAAGAAGCCCAGCAGGGTATCTGCTGGTGTGTTAGGTGCTCAGTACACCAGCCAGAAAGCTAAACTTTCCTCAGCATCCCACACTAGACCAACACATTCAATGCCGGCAATTTTTGGTGCAGGGAGACTCCCAGATAAGCAACACCCCCCGCCCTTTAGTCTGGGACTGGTGAAGGACCAAAAAACCCTGGAGGGGGGTGGGAGTTGGTTCAGGGCAACAGTCTTGCCCTCCCTCACCCAGGTCTCAGTCACGCAGGCCAGGTCTACATTTTGCTCTGCAAGATACTCTTGCGGGACACAGGTCTTATTATTCATAGACTTGGCATTACACAACACTAGTGTCGGAGTTTGGTGTAGTAAGTTACAAGTTATTTCAGAGCTGTTCTCTCAGCAGTTCTTGAAAGAGCTCAGCCCCATCTATCTCACAGGGTATCTGTTGTGGGGAGGGGAAGGGAAAGGAGTTTGTAAGCCGCTCTGAGACGCTGAGTGAAGGGCAGGGCATAAATCCAATCTCTTCTTTTCTTCTTCTTCTTCTTCTTCTTCTTCTTCTTCTTCAGCCCCACAACCAACATCTCTCAGGATGGGTTGCGGGTGCACAAGAGGCAGGTCTGAACCTCCAATATACAACAATCACTAGCATTTCCCAACCTAATTCCCCTAACACCATCTCACTATTTCACCAACCACCTCCCACCCTCAAAGCCCAGCAAATCTCCGACCCTACTAATAAATACAATTCCAATTAAATTGATCAAATAAAATCCACTGTTCACATTACATTCTAGTTTATCAATTTAAAAAATTCATCATCCTAATTGATTTAATATAAATTAATCAAACACTCCTGATAGCAGGGATAAAACAAATCAATTAATTAAACCCTTCGGTAATCGGCAGGGGGATGGGGCAAATTTAATTATTTCTGTGGTTAGGTAAAAATTTTACTTATCTGGCCAATTGGCCGTTCATACAGCAGCGCACTCTCCACGTGGCGCTCTTTTCCTCTGCACCAGATAGAATGATTGAAGAGCTGCGGTCTGTCCAAGGATGTAGTAAAAGTTTCTAGGGGCTCCGGGTAAAGTCAAGAGGCCACAAAAGCTTCCTGAGATGTTCACATATGCTCAGAGTCACCCCGGACTGTCCACAACTGTGGGGGGGACTTGTCAATTTTGAATAATTCTCATTAGCCTGTAGAGAGCGGTCCTTCCTCCCAAGGTGATGGCAGGGAGCTCCAGATCCTCTTGCCCAGGGCCCAGCCAGTGCCAACAGCCACCTGGAGTCCATTGCAGGCCCAGCCAAGATCGAAGGTGGGCTCCCTGGCCAACAGCATGTCCAACAGGTCCCTTGCCTGCAGGCTGGTAGTGGCCAGCATCCGATACCTATGCGAGGGCCAGCTGGAGTCAGCATCGGCAGCCGGCCTCTCAGCGGGAAGAGCAGCGGCAGCTGGGGCCAGGACAACTCGAAGACTGAAGGTGGGTCAGGGAATAACTACATCCCCGCCTCCTAGCACAGTGCCCACAATCCCCCCCAAACAGCAGCGTCACCGGAAATAAACGTGGTGTGCCTACATCACCCAGAAGTGATGTAGGCATGTTGGAGATGTTGAGGGCAATTCTCTGGTTTTGGGTAAAACTCCACAGTTTGAGGCTGATTTTGCCACAGAGTTTTGCCCAAAAACCAGAGTATTGCCCCCACTGTCACCGGCATGCCTATGTAACTTCAGGCACGTCATGCGACGTCACTTCCAGCTCCCGGAATGTCCCCCCCACCCCCCACCCTCCACCAGCATTTCCAATGAACCTGGCAACCCTAACTTGTGTGTCGCTCGCGGGACTCTGAAACAATAAAAATGTGGTGCCTGTTGCTGTTTGTATGCCAATTCCTGACAACTAATGCGAATGTCTGAAAATGCAGCCATAATCTGGTGAATATTCACAAAATGGCTATTGCAAACAAGACTGCCAACTGGGACTGTCAGGCATGAAAGCTGAAGAGAACCTCCATGTGCAGGCACCAGGCCCTGGGGGCAGGGAGTGGACACCCCCCCCACCCCCTTCTGCTTGGGAACTGCTCAATGGGTGATTAGTCTGATAAAACACATCTGTTGTTGGGATCGTCATTTTCAGGTTGGGAAATTCTTGGCGGTTTGGGGGCGGAGCCTGGAGCAGTGGTGTTTGGGACTTCAGCAGCTTAGAATCATAGAGACTCATAGCTTATAATGTCACAGAGTCCACTCCAGGGGAACTGATCTCTGCTGTCTGGAGATCACTTGTAATTCTGTGAGGTCTCCAGGCCTTACCTGGAGGTTGGCCATTCTAGTTCTGATTTTTTTTGCCATCAAGTCTTGGGTGACTTATGACAACCCTGTGGGTTTTTCAAGGCAAGAGATGTTCACAGGTGGCTTGCCATTGCCTGCCTCCGCGTTGCAACCCTAGACTTCCCTGGGGGTCCCCCATCCACCTTCTAACTAGGGCTGACTCTCCTTAGGGTTTCCCAGGTCCGGGCTCTGATTTTCTTCCTAGCCCAATAATGCCCGGCATTCTGGCTGGAATGGCTGCTTTCCGACCTCTGCTGGAAACTCTGCCCGCAAGGGCCAAGCCGCTCAGTGTCAGGGACAGGTCCTGCCTCACTGCAGTTTTGTCCCCAGGTACTTTCCTTTTGCTCATAGGAGACAAACAGCACTAATTCGCTTCCATGGGAGAAAATGCAGGTGTTCCCCCATTGACAGCATCCGGGCCAGGGCTTGTTCTGATCCTCACCTCTGCCAACCCACGCCTGGAGAATCGAGCCTCCCCACATCTACATAGCCCCATCCTGGAGTCTATTTCCTGGTTACTTATGGATTCTTGGAAGTTAACGTTCCTAGAGAAAGGCTGCGTTTTCTCTGCTTGCAGTCATCGGCAACAGGAATGAGGGGAGTGTTTTTGGCTGAGGTTTCTTTCAGAGAAGGTTGCCGAGCAAGCCTTCTGTTAGCAAAGTACCTGCCCCTGTCATGTCCCCACTCCCGACGCTAATCGTAACGAGGGCTTCTCACTGCTCTTCCAGGATTTGGGCCCATCCCCTAACTGGCAGCCCGCCAGCTCTTGCCACATGCCAGCACCACTCGGGAGACGCATGCTGTTTCTGCTTGTGAAACTGCTGGAAGCAGCCACAGGTGATACTCTAAGCATGCCCATCCAAAGTGTGCACGTGAAGGAGAGGGGGGGGGAGAGAGAGTGTCATGGGAATTAGCACTGGTCACAAAGCAATTCTCAGAAAGGCCTCAGGGGACATAAAATGGGGCTGCTCCCTCCTTCTTCCTAAGAGGTGTAATAAAAACGCTATTCTGGGTTTGGGCTGCTAATGCTGAACTCAGAGCGAGGGTCCTCCCACGGAGGCTGGATGGGTACTTCTCTTGTCCATTTGTCACAGATCACTGGCTACTGGCAGGCAGCCAAGGACCCCTCGCCTGCTGCCTGTGAGGCCTCAGCTCCACGCGGGTTTCGGTGAGGAAAAAGCACCAGAATGTGAGATTTCCTGCAGTATTGCTGGGCACCGAAGCTGTCTTGTGAATCTCCTCGCCAACCAAATAGTTCATGAGACTGTTAACGATCAGATCTTGGAAATGGCTGGTTCTTAAACGGTATCTTGCATACTGAAACAGAAGCTTTTAAAAAATCTTCACAAGCAACGGGATCTCCAGCGGCCCATCAGAAGGCCTGGAGAGCAAGAGCCCCCGCCGGCTCCGCCAAGGGGTTTCAGAAAGCGGGAGGGGCCAGGGGGGCTTCTGATTGGCTACTGGAGAGCTGCTGGGCTGCGTTGGTTTTTAGAAGTTGCTCCAGCAGCAGCTGCCGCCACCACAGGCACAAGGATCCAAACTGCGTGCAGGAAGGTAAGCTGTGCGTATTCAAGAAAAATATTTTTAGACCATATAGATCCAGGTGGGTCGCCCTGTTAGTCTGCAGCAACAGAACAAAGCCTGAGTCCAGACTGGACGCCTTTAAGACCAACCAAGTTTTATTCTGGATATGAGCTTTTGTGTGCAGGCCTCTCCCAATGTGTTTTGCTCTCTCTAGTAGTCCCAGAGGGAGCAAAACATGTGTGGAAAAGGAGGGGGACCCAAAGCAATAGGTACAAACGAGCAACCAAAATGACACTGCTGAAGAAGAGCCCTCCGTCCGAAAGGTGGCTCCGGGCTCAGACTTCGTTGTAAACAACATGTCCATGTTAGCCCTGACCTGGATGGCCCAGGTTAGCCTGACCTCGTCAGATCTCAGCAGCTAAGCCGGGTCGGCCCCGGCCAGTCCTCGGATCATGGGAGACCACCGAGGACGCAGGCCAGGGCACACCCACCTCTGAACGTCCGTCCCCGGCCTCGGAAGCCCTGCAGGGTTGATGGCCCTTTCCACCCCACCACCACCCCACGTCCATTTCGAAAGGCCTCCTGTTAAGCAGGGCTTCTTCCTGCCTGAAACACTGGAGGGTCAGTATTACGGTTATTTCTCTCCTCCCTGGCATTGTGTGGTGGTGCTACAGTTGTGCCCTCCACCCTGGTCAGAATCCCAAAAGTGCCCACGGGCTCGAAAGATTGGGCACCCCTGTTCTACTGAGTTCACACACTCCAATGCATCTTGACTGGTATTTGGAGTTTTGTTCTTGCTGTGGTTGACAGTTCAAATCCTGCTGCAACCTGCTCCCAGGAGATTCAAAGCGCCGGCATCGGAAGGGCGCGTAAGAGATAAATGGGAAGGATGCTTTGTCTACGAAAGGTCTCCAGATCAATCCCCAGCATCTCCAATGGAAAGGATTTCAGGCAGTCGGTATCGGGAAAGCTTTTGCCCTGCCTGAGACCCTGAAGAGCAGGAACTGGACTAGAGGATGATTCTGCCTAACGTGGTCCCACATGTCCGTAGTTGCAACGTGAAGGGACATATGAAGGGGCAGCCACAGACAGAGCCTCACTTCACTGCTCCTCATCCATGCAAGCTGTTCACAAGCAGCTGGGGACAATCAAAGCCAACGAGCAACGGGATCCTGAGGAGCGTCCCCACAAGCACCAGTCAGTCACCATCATGCAAGCGCTCGCTTCTGAGGGCAAAGAACTGGAGCAGGCTTCCATCCCAGAGGAAAGACTGAAAGAGTTCCTGCTGTCACTCAGGGGCCCCTTAAGAGACAATGATGACACATACTCCCACCCACCTTACATCCCATTCAATCCCAGGCAGACATCTGCAATGAAAGCTAGAACTTACTCGTTGAAGACCAAATCTGGAGCAAAGTACAGCATCCGGGAGTTCACGTTGGTGAATGATCTCCATCCCATGGCGAAAATCATCAGGCCCATCCAGGAGTACTGAATGATTGCCATTTGGTCATCCACATGCAGGTTACGGAATCCTAGAGCAAGGAAATGAACAATGGAAGGTCAGCAGAGCATCTCAGCACTTGCTGTGTTAAGAGGGCACGTGTGCTTCATGCATAGCATCCAGGCATCTCCACGTGGAAGAAACTGTTGGATATTGTATTGCAAGAGGATCTGGGAGGGAAAGGGTTAAGAGAACTCTCTCATTCAGGTCCACTTGGCCCCACCCTCCTCTCATTGGTTAGATGTTGAGCCTCTTTGGCCACTGATTGCCTTCTGTTTCATATATAAGACCTCTCTTCTCTCACTTACCGGGACTTGGAGCTAGTTAACCTTTTTAAAGTTAATCTGTTCTCAATAAGTTAAAATGTACCTACATGAACATGTCACGTAAGATGTGCTTCTATTTTTGTAAGTAAAAATTTCTTTCTCTAGTTACCATTGGAGTCCAATCATATTTGTAATTTGTTTGAACAGCATTTCCCCCATAACTCAGAAACATGGAGGATCAGGGATACTGCAAAGAACTCCCGTGCTTCCAAATCAAACTTTTTTTTTTTACATTTAACCCAGAATAATTCAGAATCTTAGATTAAGCTTAATGTTTAAAAAGGACTTAAAGTCTTTGATTAGCAGATCCCCTTGTATTTTTGAATCTTTTAAAATTCTCCAGCTGCATAGGGGATGAGCTTTCGTGAGTCACTGCTCACTTCTTCAGATACGGCTAGAATGTGAGTCCTTCTGTCCTATATATTGGAAAGTGGAGCGATTTCACACTCAGCAAAAAACACTATTCACATAATTGGTTATTTTGAGTTTCTTGTTACTTAGTTAGGGTTGCCAACTGCCAGGTGGTGGCTGGAAAGCTTTTGCTATTACAACAGATCTCAAGGTGATAGACTTGAACATAAGTGTGACTCTCACTAAATACGAAGACCCAACAATCAGGAGCAAAACAGACAAAGCTCTAGGAGGCCCTGTTTAGACAATCACAAACGAATGCTTTGCAGGGGTAGAAGAAAAGGAAGACATTCATGTCATTCAATGTCACTGAGCCTGAAAGAAATCATAAGCAAGCCCCACATCCTGTGGCCACACTCTCAAGAGCCCAGGCTCATACTTCCGAGCAAGGGCTGTGATTTCTCTGTAATGGGGCTAGGACAGGGATGTATAAATTGAGTATGCTATTGATTGTTATTGTGTCATTGTGCCATTGATTGTTATTCCCCATTTAATTATAGATTATTGATTAATTTGACAAATGAATTAGTCGTACTGAATGCCCTACATTGAAGTTTGATTAATTAATTAGTTTGTCATTTCTAATTTACAAATTAATTAACAGAAGGTTATCTGGGGCCTATAGTAAAATTGCCATAGACCAGCTCAGCCATTACTTATTGAAACTACTGATGTGCTGAGGGGTGAATGGGAGGGGGCGGGCAGGAAACAAAGAAGACATAAATAAAAATAAGTAAATAAATAGGCTTTTTGGCTACCGGATTTAATTAAGTGGGCGTGAAATAAAACTGATAGTGATATTGTAGCTTATGTCAAATTTGTATTTAATTTCAGAAACCGCCGATCGAGTTGATAATATTGTTGTGTTGCACATGCTGGTTAGCCAAGCACCACAAATCGGTCTGTGGTTTTACGAAGACCATCAAAATGGTGATGATGGGTCAGGGTATTCCAGTGCTCATGTGGAGGGGAAAGTATAGCGGTGGGGCCAGGTGGATCATGAAGGGAAGGCGACAGAGAAAAAGAGAAGCTCAGCCACCTTCCAGCCTGCGCCCCATCCCAAAGGTGGCAGTCAGTGGGGCTAGGAGAAATGCCCCCTCTCCGTCACTGGTGCCGTGCAATGCCAGGTCCATAAACAATAAGACCGCGGTCCTGCAGGACTTTCTCTTGGAGCAAAATGTGGACCTGGTGTGCATGACGGAGACCTGGGTACGAGAAGGGGAGACCGTAGAAATCTCCCAACTGGCTCCACCTGGGTACTCCATCCTCCACCAATCACAGACTACGAGGTGGGGGAGGAGTGGCTCTGTTCATCCGGGAGGCTTACTCCTTCAGGGCACTCCCGCCATTGAGGCTCACAGGCATAGAGTGGGAAGCTGGGGAGAGTTTGGCTATTTGGTTAGTGTACTGATCACCCAATGCACCAGCCGACAGCCTGTCATCAATGCTCCCTCTAAGCTGTGGAGTCTTGTGAGCAAAGATTCTACCTTGCGAGCTACTGGTATTAAAGTTGTGAGTGCGGGATTTGGCTACTGCATACATTAGTTTGCTCTGGAGCCATCTTTCCTGAGCTAAGACCAGGGGTCATTTCCTGCAGGAGCACACAGGAGTGGAGCTCTGGCAGTAAAGAGCCCAGGAGGTGGGCACATGCAACAAGTCCCACCCCCTGCTCCCAGCAGCCCTCAGTCAGAGCAAGAAGCAGGCAGGTAAGTTGCAGAGCCCCCCCTGGCCCAAAACAGTCCAGTGGCACCTTTAGGACCAAGTTTTAATCATGTACAAGCTCTTCCTCGTCTGTGAGGACAGATCTGCACGTCCCCCCCCCCCATAGCTAGCAATCCAAAACAGTCCAGTGGATCCTGAGTGGTGAGTGTTGCCCTCTGACACACTTCCGGTGATGTTAGGGTGTGTGGCACATGCAAATGAGTTATGCTAATGAGTTATACTAATGAGCTCCTGCACCTCTTTTTCTATGAAATGACCCCTGGCTAAGAAACAATGTGTGAGCCAGAAGGTAAAAAAATGTGAGCTAGCTCGCACTAACTCAGCTTAGAGGGAACACTGCTTGTCATCCCTGGTTGAGGCCGTGTCCGACTGGGCATTGGAGTTCCCTAGACTGATTGTCCTGGGTGACTTCAATGTCCATGCCGATGATGCAGCCTCTCCAATGGTGGTGGACTTGGTGTCATCCATGGTGGCACTGGGACTCTCCAATATGTAACAGCCCCCACGCACAGAGCCGGTCACATGCTTGATTTGATCTTTGTGGCGGGGGTTACAGTGCTATGGCAGTTCCATAGTCGGACCACCATGCCCCTGAAGGGCCACGTGAATGTGGCACCCCAACCCTGTTTGGACGGTGAGCGCATTTTAGCTCGCCCGCGGAGCCAAATGGACCCTCAGCAACTTCAGATGGCTCTATGGGATCCTATACTCCCTGGTGACCCGCTAGATGAGTTAGTCGAGGACTGGCATGGCGAACTCTCGACTGCCATCGACGAGATTGCTCCCCAACGCCCTCTGCGCCCTCGCTCCAAGCTGGCTCCTTGATTCACCAAGGGGCTGTGGCTGATGAAATGAGAGCTCAGATGACTAGAGAGATGGTGGCGGTGCGCTTGCGACGAAGCAACAAGAGCATCCTATAGGACATTTATGAGATCCTATGAGATGACAGTCAAAGTCGTAAAGAGAGAATTCTATGCTAGCTCACGCCTGGCACAATTGTTTAGAACTTTTTCGGTCATTAACAGAGCTGCCTCAGGGCAGACCAAATGCTAGGGAACTGGTTATCAGCTGTGAGGCTTCTGCGAGCTATTTTGCAGATAAAGTCTTCCTGCTCCGCCGCAATCTCCCCGCCACAGTTGAGACAGTGAGTGAACCCGAGGCCCCATGTACGTCTTCTAGTTCCATTCTGGATTATTTAAGTCCACTCAGCCTTGAGGAAGTCGACAGATTGCTCTCAACAGTACGCCCAACTATGTGCAGCTGTCATGATCCGTGCTGTGCTACCAGAGGCCTACTAGGCCCAGAGAGCCTGGCTAGCAGTAGGTGAGGCTGGGCCTACAACTCCCAGAAGCCCCTGGGAGGTTTTGGAGCCAAAATTGACCAACAGGAAAAGAGGAGGACTGGGAATAAAAGTTCTGGAGCAGCAGGAAGAGCTGTTCTTTCTTCCAGAGGGCAGAGCCAGAAAGAAGGCTGCTGCAGGGGAAAAACCCTCATCCTGAGGGAGGGGTGAGTAGTGTAAGGCCACTAGGGACAGTATATTTAGACGCGTTAGGGCATTTGATTTCTCTTCTTTTCACCCACTTACTGCACCTTGTTGTTTTACCTCCTATAAAATAAACCTTTTCCTTGTTTTACTCTGCCCGGTCCTCACGCCTGTTATTCAGCCTAAAGGGAGGTCTGAAGGTCTTGGGAGGGTGCTCTGGGCCTTCTTAAGGGAACCTAAATCCAGAGTGGTGGCAGCATCAGGTGACACCCCACCTGAGCCGTGACAGCAGCCTTGACCCGTGTCCTTCATAGCTCATAAAAGCTAGCCACGAGGGATTGCGAGGTGCTCTCAGGGATATTACCAACAGGTCCTTCACAGAGGGACAGTTCCCGAGGGCACTCAAGGAAGCGATGATCCACCCTCTCCTGAAAAAAACCATCCTTGGACCCAGCTGAATTGGCCAACTATTGGCTGGTCTCCAATTTGCCCTATTTGGGCAAATGACTTGAGACAGTGGCAGTGATTCAGTTGCAGAGCTTTATGGATGACACTTCCATGCTAGACACATTCCAGTCCAGCTTTCGGCCAGGCTATGGGACAGAGATGGCACTGATTGCCCTCACAGATGACTTCTGGAGGCACCTGGATCGAGGCGCCACGGCGGCACTGCTGTTGTTGGACCTGTCAGCGGTGTTCGACATGGTCGACCATCAGTTGCTGATCTACCACTTAGCCGACAATGGGATTCAGGGGCTTGCCCTACAATGGTTCATCTCCTTTCTCCAAGGTCGGGGACAGACAGTGGCGGTTGGGGAACAGACGTCCAAGAGGTACCCACTGGTGTGTGGGGTCCCTCAAGGGGCGGTGTTATCCCTGATGTTATTTAACATCTACATGCGCCCTCTCCCAGATTGCCCGGAGGCATAGGCTAGGGTGCCATCAATACGCCGATGACACCCAGCTATATCTGTTGTTGGGCGGTCAGTCCAACTCTACCGCAGATGACCTTGAGCGGGTGCTTCAGGACATGGCGGGCTGGCTTAGACTGAGCCAATTGAAATTGAATCCAACAAAGACGAAGGTCCT